TCCTCGAGAGCCTGACGAAGCTGATCTTCGGTATATTGAGGCATTATATATAGAAGAAGACATGTGCAAAAGATGAGCCCATTTGGACGCGAATTGAAAATGTTGTGATAAAAGGAGGTTGGGGGTGGGCATTGGGTTGTGGTGGATTTTCGCGTTTTTGTGGGTGCCAGAAACAAAGGGGGGTGCCAGGAAGTGGGTATGTTGACTTATCTCGCAGCTCTTCTCAGCACCAAAGCGCGCTCTTGGAAGCATTTCTTGGCTCCAAAATTGTTCTCCAGCGTCAATAACAGGACGTATCAGGTTCAGAATGTCAAATCCATCACCACACGCTTCGGTGAGCCCAAGAAACGAATCGCAAGATTCGCCGGCAGCTCCTACAGCCACTGAGCCCGTTGCCGCTGCGACTGAGCCTGCAGCGATTGACGTCGATGATGGAGCAAGCGTATGTCTGCAGAGTACTCTGGTACATCAATCATGGAAACTAATGACTAGGTCTTACGGGCGGCTAGGAAAATGCGTCCACGATTGATGATCAAATGTACGCAAGCCTCACTACTGCCTTTCAAGGTCTGAGCTCTTGGGGACGAGGAGCTAATCGTCGCAGGTCCTCATACACAGCCTCGCTCACGTCTTCAGTCGTGGATTACCCAACAGAGTACGGCCGTCGGTACCACGCTTTCCGCGCTGGAGGTATGTCACAGGAGCCTTGGGGCCACTATGTAGAGCTCCACGAACGCTCTGGTCTTCATCACGACTAACGGAAAGTAGCGTACAACTTTCCCAATGACGAGGTCTGGGCCCTTCCTTGTCGCTGGAAATGATGCGCGGGCTGAAGATTCGGGTGTAGGACGAAATGGACCGCCTCGATTTGGTGCACACGTTGATGGTCAAGACCATTGGAAATAAACTATTCCTTGCGCCTATCAAGGAAGCAAAACTGCATCGCGTTCTGGATGTTGGTACCGGCACTGGCATTTGTACGTTGCAATGCGCTGCTTTGCAATCTCTCCGTCGTCTTCTGAGTTCTCATACCTATAGGGTCCATCGAGATGGGAGACCTGTTCCCTGGAGCCGAGGTACGGTGTGACCTGCCCGTATGGGGAAGAGTACTAAGAGTGTGTTAGATCATCGGCAATGATCTGAGTGCCATCCAGCCAAAGTGGTATGTCCACCAGCACCAAGGCATTGAATTAAACATGTTAGAACCGGCAAATTGGTGATTCGCTAAGAGTCCATCGCAACAGGGTTCCGACGAATGTCAAGTTCGAAATCGATGATGTCGAGAGCGAGTGGGTTGGGCAGAACAAGTACGACTTCATCTTCAGTCGATACCTGTCCGGCTCGCTAGCAGACTGGCCAACCTACGTCAACAGGGTCTCTCAGTAAGTTCCCGGATTCTAGACTTCCCGTCCTTTCTAACAGCGCGTCCAGAAATCTCAATCCTGGCGGTTGGGCCGAATTCCAGGACTGGAGCTTCATGCTCCAAAGCGACGACGGCACGCTCAAGGACACCGCTATCCAGCGCTGGGCTGACACCTTCATGGACGCCTGCAAGGTATTTGGACGCGACGCCCAGATCGGTCCCAAGCTCAAAGACCTGGTACAAGATAACACCGACCTTATCAACGTCCACCACGTGCCGTTCAAGATCCCCAATGGTCCCTGGCCCAAGGACGCACATCTCAGAGACCTTGGGATGTGTAACTTGATTCAACTCCTGGAAGGGCTCGAGGGATTCTCGCTCAAGCTCCTCTGCGGAGGTCTTGCTTGGACGAAGGAGGAAGTACTGGTCCTGTGCTCTCAAGTTCGTGAGGAGTTGAAATCGGGCAAGGTACATGCGTGGTATCATTAGTAAGTTGTCGCTATGAGATGAGATGTTCAACCACCTGGGCTGTTTACTAACTCTATGCGCAGTGACGTTGTCTATGGACAGAAGCCTGAGAAGGAAGAATAAGAGCCAGGTGATGTGTTGCGTAAAGTATTCAGCTTCCTCACATGGTGCAGGTGATGGGAACAGATGATAGTACATAGTGTCCTCTCGGCGCGGCATCTAGATCACAACTCATCCTTCGCCCTTTCCTCCTCAGTCATCCCAATCTTCTGACGCTCTACACAAATCCAACCAGAACCATCCGCCTTCGCAACCAAGGGAAACCTACAGAAAGGAGTCTTACTCTCCGCCACCTCACCTTCAGCCAGTCCCATAACAACAGCATCCAACTGCTCCGGCGCGACCCCCTCCTCAACCCACCGCCTCAAAGCATCCAAAGCCCTCAAAGGAAACCCAGCCCCTCTAGGCGCAGCACAATGCGTAGTCCCAGGAACCTCAAAAAACCTGAAGTACCCCTCGGTCTCAACTTGTTCCTCTCTCCCTCCATCAACCTCCAGGACCTTGCCATAATACCGCCTCATGGCATTGATGGTGATAGCTTCATCGTTGATAGAATGCCACGCAATCATCTTCCCCCCAGCCTCCCTGAATCCTCTGAGATCAGGTTCATCGCTCCCAATCATATCCCCAAACTCCTCCACCGTCTCCCTGAACAGCCGGACAGCCTCCCGTCTCGTCATACTCGCCGGATCATACCCAGCATCCTTCTTCACCAACAGCCTAATCCAATCCGTAGCAATCGTAAACGGCCGCCCACGACACCTCCCTCCCTCACAAACAGTATTCGCCAACGCCATCAACCCCGTCGCAGCAGTCCCCGCCGTCGAGCCTGGAAACAAACTTCCCCCTTTCTCATCAACAGGCCCCCTCATCAAAGCCTCAGCAACAACAACCGCTCCCTCAGAAACCCTCCCCTTAACCCCCTCACACTCGATCTCCCTCCCAAGCACCACCCTCGGCTCGAACGAACAAAGATCATCCCTCGCAATAACCCCGTCCTTGACTCCATCCTTCTCGTCACAGGCCTCGACCGCAGCCTTCTGTATAGCCTCCATCTCGCAAGCGGAAGGATACACGCCCACCTCGTTCATCACCACCTGAGGCCAAAACATCCCCATCAGCAACGCGGGAAAACTGACTGCTGGACACCCGACGAGAATCCCGTCATAGGCCCCCGGAAATCGCTGCGCCATCGCGAGATCCTGCCTCCCGCCGGTAGAACACCCGCTCCAGTAGGAGAAATTGGGTTTCCGGCCGTAATACTCCGAAGCAATGTATTTTCCAATGAGCGTCATCTCATGCAACCCCCTATACGCGAAGTTCTCCAACGCATCAAGATTCGGTTTTCCATCTTTAAACAGCCAGGAATCTGCTGTACCGTATGGATCATGTTCATAGCCACCATTCGTAGCAGCAACAGCGTATCCTAAAGCGGTATACCCCGCCATCACATCGTCACCAATCTCACCCGCCAACCACCCGCCGCCACCAATGCCCAAGAAGCGGGAATTATAAACATCCTGGAGAGGCAACCAGACGTGAACTGTGACGACAGAGTGCGAGTTGGGGCGGGTGTATGAGACGGTGACGTTACACGCCGTCACGCCTTTCGGGGGCACGAGTGCTGCTTCAGGTTTCCATCCTGAGTTTTGGGTGAAGTCCGTGAAGGGGTTGGCGGTGGTGGAGTGATATATGAGGTCTCCGACTTGAGGGAATGAGAAGGAAGTTGGTGAACAGGGTTTTGCGGCAACGTGGACTGAGGTGGCTAAGGCTAAGCCGGCTAGGATGAGTGGACCGGCCATGTTGAGTCTGGAAACCGTCGTTCTGGTGAAGGCTAAGCTTCATGGATTGTGGTCATGAAGAGCGATACTAGATATATGAATGATAGCTCGCTTAGTTCGTACATCGTACTCGTATGCTTAAGCGATGAGGAGCAGACTACGTTGACTGTGGAGTCGCGGGGTCCGCGCAGAGTCCGACTATGTAGCACCATAAATCCCTGTTGACGATCGTCTACGGACTACTCCGTTGGAGTTTGCCAGTAGGTACGAGCAAAATAGAGCTTTACCTTGCAAAGTAGTTTGTATGTAAAACACGGTGAGAAGATGGTGGCATGCCAACAGGTATCATTCCTCTACGTCTATCATTCACAAATGTAAAATAACACCATCAACACCTCTTTGTCTAGCCATCCTCAAGCGGCCTCCTCACAAAGATCTCCAAAGCCCCTCTCATCTTCTCCTCAACAGCTTTCCTCTCCTTATCTTTGGCAGGCAACCCCACCCGGCACACAGCCTTGCCAAACACCTCACCGACCCTCCTCTCTCGAAGACGCCGCCTCGCCAACGCAGCCTCAGCAGCCGCGTTGCCGCCCGTAAGCCGTCTAAAGCTGAGACTCCGCCTGTTGGGCTTCTGCATGGTCAGCGCCTCGACCTCTGACCGCGAGATGGGAGCCATCTCCGCGACCACTTTGCACAGCGTCGCCGTGAGGAAGACAAAGGCGATATTGTGATTGGGCGCCGTGGCGAGGATGTCCAACACCGCAGTCTTGTCGTCTTCGACTTCGGGTGGTGACCGTGCTGCGGCCGCTCCCAGGTGAGGGATGGCAACTTCGATCTTGGCCCAGAGGGCTGCGGTGATGATGCCGTCAGTCAGGCCGCTAAGGAAGAGAAGCAGGACCTCGGCGAGTACTTCGAGGCGGTATAGTGATGGGACTTCAACGGGAAGCGCTTCGACAAGGGGTTGGTCATTGTCCAGTGCCTCGATTAAAGCGATAATCTGGCTGTCACGGGACTCTTTGTCTTTGAACAGCCATGCGGTCTCGTCAAAGGGCCAGCCGGGCTTGTCAGCCGGGATGACATGTTCCTCAATCATGTTTGCTTCCGCGATGGCGCGGAGCATCATCACCTCGACAGCTTCTGTAAGCTTGAAGAGCTCCTTAGGAGCAGCGCAGCGGACGTCGAGATCGTATGGGATGGCACCGGAGCTCTTGCCATCCCTCGACTTCATGAAAGCCCGAATGCCTCCGTCGGGAATACGGATGAGCTCGTCTATCGAGCGTCCGAAACACGTCGGAAGCCACGAGGCGCGGACTGGAATGAAATGGTCTCTGCCGTCTTCAACACGCAGAACCAAGATGTCCTCAAGAGTTGACCGGCCGTCGTTGAGGGCTCGGACATGGGAAATGTCGCTAACGTATATCTCCAAAACACCACTGACCGTCTCGCCGGGTTCCAAGGTGACCTCGTCGCCCAGATCTGGCGACCCCTCTGCGCTTTCGTCAGCGGCTGTGCGTTTGAATGATGATCTTAGCCAGGCTGGTGGGCTCGAAGCCTCGGAATCCTCCTCAATCGTGGGTTTCTCAACAAAAGCAAACTTGGCCGGCACTCGTCCAGTGTTTGCGATTGTCAACGTTGCCGTATGTTTGCAGCGGTAGGCAACATCTCCAAAGTCGACGGCTTCACCAAGGTCCACCCCATCCTCACCCTTGGCTTGCATGTCTGGGTCGTCAAGGATGACGGTGACGAGAGGCCGTCCCTCGTTCTCGGCACGATCCAGCTCCTTTGCAACTTCGGCATGGACTTTAGCCTTGAGATCCGGCACCACCGCGTCGTAGTCGAGCGTGAAGATGGAGATGATCGGCTTGTGGTCTGAGGAAATGATCCGCTGGTGTGAAGTGTAGATATCGAGCTGTATTCTGTCCGTGAATCCTTCCTTGGTGACAACTTCCTCTGGTTCGTTATCATCTTCTTCATATTCGTCGTAATCGAGGCCAGCTTCGCCCGTAGGCACCTCCTCGCCGTCCGCATCCGGGTCGTAGCTGAATAGGACGTCGTCGTCATCGGTCGCATGGTCGATACCCCGCGCTGTCATCTCCTCGTCCTTCTTCTTTGCCTCCTCGGCCTCCTTGACCCTTTGCTCATATTCCTCCCTGTCCTTTCTTGTTCTGTACAAAATACGATCGCACCAACTCGGGGCTCTTTGTTTCTCGCTCGAGTCAAAGAGACTAATAGTCCCGACGTCGTATTTGTACGAGGGCAGGAAAGTGATTTGTCCTTCGCGCCAGCCGTCGTGGAAGGCCTTCCTCTCCTTGATTATCCTCCTTAGCTGGTCATGCGGCAGAAGAGAGTCCAGGGTTGCTTGCAACGACGCAGGATCATCACTTGGGTCAGGCAAAAAGTCATCGGGATCTGGCAGGGAGCTTGAGGAATCATCAAAACTAGCCTCTGATGATAGAGTCGTTTCGATCGTTGAGGTGTCGTCATCCGTGTAGTCACTCTTCTTTGCGCTCTTGACCACTAGAACCTCCTCGCCGGCGATAACTTTGCGCCCCCTTTTGTCCAAGTCGTACTCGCCACGGGTGTGTAGTTGAAGCAGGCGCCGGATATCATTACCGGGCAGTCCATCCACACGGAAATTCAAGTCACCCACCCAGAAGGCAAAGTCCTCGTCGCCAATCTTCTCCGGCTCAGCTTCATTTTCTCCTGCCAGATTGATCGGGTCAAACTGCGTCCTTGTCAAAATCTGCCCGACGTCCCACAATCTCCGGTCCAGGTATGTCTGCTCCGCGCCGCTAGCCAGGTGGCAGTTGACAAAGACCATGCGGGTTGTCTCCCCGAGCAGTAGTCGCGTAGTTACAGCTCCCTTGTTCCCCAAGTATCCAAAGAGGCCCGTTCCGACAGAGACTGTGCTCACGTTGCTGACTGTAGGTGCTACCTCAGGGGAAGCATAGGCCAGCAGCAACAGACCAGACATTTGCTCTGCGGCAACGAGCTCGTATCCATCCGGCATGGCTTCTTCCAGGGCTTCTTTCCACTTCTTCATAGGTCCTTGATCGGATGCCATGCGGTTCATGTAGTCCCTTGCCATATTCAGGTCGACAATCTCCTGCAAGCCCAAGACGTACAGTCCGACCTTGTCGCCTCCGACCAAGTGCACCGAGGCATTCGGATCTTGCTCTTCAGTCGCATCCTTGGCCGGTTCCTTGGTTCCGTCCTTGGCGGCTGGCGGAGGATCCGTCTCTACCGTATCGTGATCTGCGATGTTGAGCCTCGAGAGCGTAGTGTCGAGACCATATCCGTCAACGAACCAGCTCGCCAGGTCCTTGTCGGTGCCAGGACACGCAGCCACGTTCCATGTTCCAATCTTGACCCGGATCCGGTGTGGGCGTACGTACTCTGCCCGACGAGCGTAGACGGCACGGGCAAGGGACTGCGGCGTGGACGAGAGGTCGACGGGGTCTGATGTCGTGGAGGGGATGGTCTCGGAGGGGGGCGCCATCGCGGGAGCCGAAGCCATGCGCTGGTTGCTGCTGAGATGCAAGCGAGCGAGCGAGTGTGCAGAAGTCGTAGTTTCGAAAGGTCCCTAGAGAAAGGGAGCTCTGGGGGTCTAAGGGGGTATTATTTGACGGGGTCGGGGGACGGTGCTGGCGGCGGCGGCGGCGACGGCGGCTAAGAAGAGGTGAGACAAGAGGCCGGTCCAGGGTCCTCTGCTTTGGTGTGTCTGTTGTTGGTCGTCGATCAGTCCGGCGTGGCCCGGCGCATGATGTTCGTATCTTGGGCGTGGCTACGAGTCGTCGTAAGTGAGGTCACGGACCAGGATGGCTTCAGTTATGCGCAGGAGTCGACCAGGCGCGAGAGGGAGCCGAAGTAGTAGTCAGCGAGATGGCCTGGATGTTGGATGAAACTTGGATGCCCTAGAAATGTACGGACGAGCCGGAGCAGAGAGGAGACTGGAGGGGAAGAAGATGAACAAGATCTGAACAGTCTTGAAGTCGTTAAAGGCGTTTGTTCAATAAGATGTTGCAGAAGTATCCCGCTACCAGGTATATGGAGTAGAGAAAGGGAGGGAAAAGAGACTGGGGAAGGGAAAGATTGTCGCTGGGATCTCTCGTCCACAGATTCCCGTCGTCGGACGCCTCGTTTCTGGGTCGCAGGACCGGTGACGTGCATCTTTTCCCGGGGGGTCGCACCTTACAGTCACTGACAGCGCTGCGCTGGAATGACAGGGGGTTTGCTAGGGGACCCCTCTGCATTTCTGCACTGCCACAGCGCTGGGATTGGCGGGGTAGACTCGCGTGCTTTATCGCGATAAGATGTCGATAAGCCGATAAGGCACCTACGGCCTGAAGACGGGGGAGATCCACCTCGCACACTGACCTCATCCGCACCTCTTCCGAAGCAACCAAGCTTCACCTTGCTCACCTTACACCTTACAAGTTGACAACACCACAACCTCCAACTTCACGATACCTGCTCAACTCTCCTACGGACAACACTCGCCGACGACTCTACGACCCACATACAAACACCAACCCGACTCCAAGCTCACATTCCTACAGCAACACTACACACACACACACACACACATCACCAACACCACCACAATGTCCCGATCAACCCCCCGTCGACGCGGCGGCGGCCACGCCCGCCACTCCTCCCAAGGAAACCCAATCTCCGGTCCCCGCCCCGTCCAATCCGACTACGAATCCGACGCGGCGCACTACATCGACTCCCACCCCGTCCCGGACCCGAACCCAGCCCTCCTCAACCGCACAAACACGGACCTCAACCTCTCCGTCCTCCGCCGTTACCTCCCCTCCATAAACTCAACCCTCTCCATCGCCGCCAACGCCGTCGTCTACACCTTCAATCCCACCCTCCCGGGCTGGGACAAGACGGGCATCGAGGGGACCTATTTCCTGTGCATGCAGGACCCCGTCCCCGGCGCGGCACCAAATCCGAGAGCATGCATCTTTGTGTTGAACCGTCGCGGCCTGGAGAATGTGATTCTCGATCTCAGCGAGGTGGACGACTTTGAAGTCATGGACGAGATCTACATCTTTCGCCTACGCGGAACCAGCGAGGAGGCGGCAGAAGGAACCAACAAAGTCATGGGCATCTGGATCCACGCAGACAAGGAGGACACGCGCGTTATGAACGCCGCCCTCATCTCCGAGACGCTGAGACACGTCCGCCTCGCCCAGGAGCAGAACGCCGTGGCTGGTTTCGGCGGCCCCGGTGGACCAGGCGGCGAAGAGGAGCTGGGCCCCGCGATGCAGGCCATTGGCCGGAAGCTGAGCTTGAGCGACCTGTTTGGCGCGCAGAATGGCCTCCAGGGTTAGGAGCCCGCGGTTTATGCTGCGGGGATCAAGGCGCGAGAGTCTTCGGTGAGGGGATGGGGTATTGCGGAGGCGTCTGATGTGTGGGGAATGGCCAAGATTTGCCTGCTTGGAACTGAGATGAAGAACCTTCAGAGACGTTGAAGTTGAAGTTGAAGTTGGTGTTGGTGTTGGTGTTGAAGCTGGGGCTGAAGACAGAACAGCGTGGAGAGGAACGAACTGCACGATACATGTCCTTGGGAGAAAAGGGGAACGCTCCGGAGAGCGTGACGGTTGAACCAATGATACCCTTGATTAAGAAAGAAAGAAAAAAGTCATTTTTCATACATGAATGCAAAGTCGTCATGGGACTCGGCAATTCTGCCAAAGTCCCTCCAGTCGTGACTCGCAAAGTCTAGGGGGCTGCGTTTCTTTTTCTCTATTACAATCCCCAAAAGCCTTGACCCTTCCTAGACCATGCTCGCGTAAAAAACTCCCCTACCATTACCAGCAGACTCTTGAGTGAAACCCATCGCCCAGACTAAGACGCGGAAAGTAAACAAAAGATACGAGGGTCTCGCTCATACGGTGCCACTGATGCTGAGCTCGCGAATCTCCTGCAGCACTTGCTCGACACGCTGATCCAGCTGGCCCTGCGCATACTGTTCTCTCGTATCCGCGTCCAAATACTGCTGCACCTGCGCCATACGACTGTACGCCTCAGCGCAGAAGCGTAGCTGGATCTTGACGAGGGCCTCGAAGGTGGGGTCGAGATACGGCACGCGGAGGTCGATGAGCTGGGGAAGTTCTGACGACAGCTGCTCGTTGAGCTGCTCGTAGGCGGCCTTTGCCATTTCCATCTCCTTCTCGGCGCGGGGCAGCTTGGTCACGTCCTTGTCGGGCTTCTCGACGAGCTTCTTGACCTTGGCACGTAGCGCATCGTAGTCGAGGAGCTTGTGGCCGCGCTTCTTGATGCCTGGGAAGGGTCAGCAAAATGACATAGGAGTGCAGCCTGGGTTAGACCGACATTCGTTTACGTCTGGGAAATAAGCGCAGAAGCGTGAGATGGGCTCGAGAACGGTTTGCCTAGACGACGTATTAGCCATTATGCTGATACCCGAGTCGTCGCCAGTGATCATACTGGTAAGGACCATCCAGCGCCTTAATGGTCTCGGCATCAAGGTCCTCCACTGCCTGCTTGTAACTTCTGCTCACGCCGTCCTTCGCGCCAGAGTCTCCGTAAAAGGCGTCTATCGTCTCGGCAATGCGCATCTGGGAAGCAGTCATGGCTGTTGCACAAAGTTAGCCCACAGCCATCCTTGGCAAAGGGGGGTGCATAGTCGTAGACCGCCAAACCCACCTCGCAATGAATCCAAGTAGCCCTTTGCCTCCTTCTGCAACCGCAAGGAAGCCGTCTCCATGGTTCTGAATCGTCTGCCAAAAGAAGTCTCAGTATTGTGTTTCGTTTCGTCGGGCGTCTCGGCCTTGGGGATAGGGTGTAGCCCACCTCTCTTCCACCTCGTAGTCGCGGTCGTTGGTCTTCTCCACATGGCCTGCCAAGATCAGAACCTCTTCGTATTTCATGACTGTAAGTTGGGCAGAGAGGGCTTACCCGTCTTCATCATCACCTGCGTCGTCGCGCGGTTGACATTTTTCTTGAATCCTGTAGCCAAATACCATCAGTTCAGATCCTTCGTTGTTGGTATCCTCCATTTCCTTTTGCTCAGGTTGCGCCCGAGGAGGGTCCGAGACTCTCAAGTCGTACCTGCCCACGACATCTTGGCTGTCTTGCTGTGTGTTTCCTCTTAGTACTCGGTGCTAAGGTTCGGAATAAGAATTCAAAGGCACTAGAATGCTCGAGTGGGTAGTGTATGTGAACTGATCACTCGGTGGTTTCGGCAGGTATCGTTGTTCGTAGGAAGGCCGTTTCGTCGTCCGGAGTTGAATTGATGGGGGGGGTGGTGCACTGGGTGGTGGAGGGGGAGAAAGGAAATGCGGTTTTGATTGCGCGGACGAATCACTCAATGCACCTGGAGCACAGCACCTGAACATGCTGGGGAGACCCAACTGCACCTGGGCAGCGCCCAGAAACGGAAACCGACGTCAGCGAACAGAGGCTTTGGAGCTGCGCCACGGCCTTGTTGGTGCTAGCTCCTCTTAGCGCCGGGTAGCTCTGTGGCTCAGCCCTGTAGGCAGCCTGTATTGCCGTGCTTACCTAAGGCAGCTAAAGCCAAGGCGGTGGGCGCAAGTGCCGTTTTCCGATTGTTCACTCCCCGGTGACTCAGCGTCGATGATTAGGTAAGGAGATATTTGTGCAGCCGTGCATGAGGCCAATTCGGCCCAGAAGCTTTCTTGTGCAAACACAAGCTGCTAATACGACTTTTTATGCACACCTTGTTAGACCAGGAGAATGGCCTCAAATTCTTTATGCTGACGAAGATATGTTCAGTCCAGCCTTTCATAATGTTACAAGTCCCTGGTTTTCATAGCCTCTCATGATAAATCTCAACACCACCACTTTATCTGAATTCACTCATCTCATTACATTACAGACAGCACCAAAGAAAAGAAATAAAAATGAGCGCACCTCGTTTTCTACTCATCAGCCTGGGAAATCCAGAGCCACACTACAACACCCTTCACTCCGCTGGTCACCATGCTCTCAACTCTCTACAAAAACTCCTGGGTCCCTCTCAACCCGCCTTCCATAGAGGCCGCTTCGGTGGCAGCTCCTGCCTGGCCTCAATTGGGCCCAAATACGCAATGATCCAGAGCCCCTCCGTCATGAATGTAACCGGGAAATGGTTGGCAAAAGCATGGAAGGAAACCCTCGGCACCCGGAACCCAGCAGACCTAAGTCTCATCCTTGTCCACGACGATCTTGAAGAGGACCTGGGCTTCGTCAAAACAAGAAAGTGGAAGAGCAGTCACAGAGGCCACAATGGTATCAAGAGCGTCAACAACTGTCTCCGCGAGGCAGATTACCCAGAGTCAAAATGGGCGAGGATAGCAGTTGGCATTGGACGGCCCGATCAGCGCGATCACTCTACGGTATCTAACTACGTCCTGAAGCGCATGACCAAGGACCAATGGTCTGCCCTCGAAACCAACGGAGGCCCTGGCGTGCTTGAGTGCCTTCTCGCATTCGAGGAGAAGCTTGACGCTGCAGCGGGGAAGTGAAGTATCCGAAGCTTCACCCAGTTCCCCTCCTCTACCTCATACCCTCGGCGCACGGTAGCCCACATCCTACCCTGCATCCATTCTGAGCCTCCAACATGAATAAAGGCATCAAAAATGCAGCAGGAGACGACGGTCGTTGCGAATGCGTCTCTTGATAGCCCTAGGACAATGCTGAGTCTGTCCCTGGTGCCGGGCGCGCAAAGCAAAGCCTCATGTCGTCGGAGCCAAAGGCTATGAGGAAGCCACGGGGCGAATCAATTCGCCATCAGTGAGCGTCCCATTCCTTACTTCATGTAGCCTCATCGGGCCCAGGCCGCCCATCGAGCCATTTGCTCATGTACGGCCCATCGAGCCAGTACCCGAGCTTAGCGTAGTAGCTTCTCACACCTACACCAGAAATAACACTAATCTTTTCGCTGCCGTGTTCGTCCCTTGCAATTCTCTCTGCCTCCTCCATCAGGAGCGTGCCGAAACCCTGGTGCTGGAACTTCTTCGGGTCTCTGGCGTGTACCGGCACTGCGGTACCGTAAACGTGCAACTCTCTGACCAGACTCGTTGGCTGTCCAACGAGCTCCTCTCGGTACGTGTACTTTTCGGTGCACTTTCGTAGACGCAACAGGGCAACGAGAATGTCCTGCTTCGGGTCCTCGTATGCAAGGAACGTTTCCCATCCGCCGTTGGCTGTGTAGTCTCGTCGCACTAGCTCGATCTGGTTCGGCCTAATCTTGTTCTTGACCTCGTTGACACCGACCTCGCGCGTCCGCACATCTCGACATGTTGTGCCGAAATCCTTCATTCTTGCCAGTGCCAGTTCACGCAAGTTGCCATTCTCCACACCAGACGTGACCAAAGGCATGGGGATATCTCTCTGGACTCGATAAATACGTGTCCATGGCGGGATAAGCGCCAGAATTCGCGCAACCAGATCGATCAAGCCGTTGGGGGTGTAATTCTGGTATCGGCCTGTGCGCCACAGCTCGTAGAGGCCAGTGCCTCTGATGACGAGAGTCGGGTAAATCTTTAGACCGTCCGTACGGAACGCAGGGCTCTCAAAGTACTCCCGGAACTGGTCCAGATCTCTCTCCATGCCCACGTTAGGCAAATCAGGCATCATGTGACTGACCACCTTGAAACCAGCGTCCTTGGCCAGGCAGAACGTCTCGGCGACGGCGGCAACGGTGTGGCCACGATTTGTGTCTCTTGCGACGTCTTCGTAGAGCGACTGGACTCCAATCTCCAACCTCGTGCAGCCGTAACGCAACATATCCGTCAGATGCGGCTGCCAACAGTAATCCGGTCTCGTCTCGATTGTGATACCAACGCACTTGATGTTGCTCATCTCACTAGCCTCCACTGCCTCGTCCACGTTCGATGTCTGATATCCGCTGAGCGCATTATGTAATTGGGCGATAAAGTCCTCCCTGTACGGTACCGGCAGTGACATGAATGTGCCACCCATGATGATGTACTCCACCTTGTCGACTGAGTGACCCAGAGACTTGAGCTGGTCAACACGTCCGCGGGCCTGCTCAAAAGGATCGTAACGTGCGCGAATCGCTCGCATCGATGTGGGTTCGTATCCGGTGTAGGATTGTGTGCTGTATTCGAAATCGGAGTCTGGACCGCCGGGGCAGTATACGCAAATGTTGCCCGTGTAAGCAATGTGCGGACATCTGTGAGGCTTGCACATAACGGCCACTACAGCGATACCCGATGATGTTCCTAGCCGATCTAGTAAGCATGCGTCCGTTTGTGCGGAGAATCAGGGAGACGGCATACGGATTGGCTTTGCGATGAGCTTCGGCAAGATGTATTTCTTGTAATGCTCAGGGATCGCAGCAATAATGGCCGTCAGAGGCGGGATATTGGCGAGCTTGTGCTTTCTCGAAAACTTGTTGCGCAAAGAATTGAGGTTGAGATCCTTTGGCGGGTTTTTGGGGTCCCTGATAGCCTCGTGGTCTTCGATAAGGGCGTTGGCGACATCTGCGCAGCATCGTAGGAAGCGCTCGTTCTCTGGTGGGAGGTTGTCGTTCTTGGACCGCCCCTTGGTGACGGTGACGGTGGTGGTCGCCATCTTGAGGGGTATGGGGGGCAATGTGAGTTCAGTGGGCGCACGTCTCTTCGGTCGTTCGTGGAATTATCGTGGTAGAATTTTGATTCGAGGTTGATCGCGTGATTTTCGTGATTCCACCCCCGTAGCGTGAAGTCGTCAGAGTCATAAATCGGAGTGTCGTTGGGGGTTGGAGAGTTGACTGTCCGATCACTTTGGAAATTTTGGAGGAAACCGTCAAATGCAAGTTGCTGGATGGTGGGGTAGATCAGCCACAGCTTCACCCATTCGGAGACGCCACACGTCAAATCTGCATGTTGAAGTCGGTACGTACCGCACGTACCGTTCAATGCAGGAGGGGTTTGGCAGGCACAGCTGGCAGGGTGCCCTTCGGTGCCTTCCCAATGTTCCCATCTCTGAGCCGTGCTGATTGCCGCGGCCTTCATTGGTCCGGTCGGATCATCCCCTTCACCGAATCGCCGAAATGGGCCACGGGTTTTCCCGGGCGTTCGGGTCCCGTGCTTGCCTCGTGGAGTCGTGGCTCGCCTGCTGCAGACCCGGTTGTCTCGCAAAAGAAGCGAAAGAGCTCGGTTCAAGTTTTGCTGCTGACCTTCCCCTACTGCGAGTTTGACCCTTCTTTCGGAAAGTGACGTGAATTTGCATTGCAGCCACAGCTATCTTCTCTTTTTCCCTTCCCCCACGATAGCCGCCATCTGCCATCCTCTCTCACCAACGAGATCCTCCTCCGAATCCCATTACTTCCTCTCCTTAATTGGCGCCGCGGTTCTTTCGAAGCTGCGCTGTTCTACCTATTTTAACACACACATACACACACATCGCCCAAGATGCAGTCCCTGAGACAGATGCGGCCGGCAGGCAAGCTCCTGAACCAAGCCGCGAAGCGTGCATACAGCGCCTCGGCAGCTGGCCCTTACACCAAGACCATCGACAACCTGCGCATCAACTCCGAGACCAAGGTGCTTTTCCAGGGCTTCACTGGCAAGCAGGGAACGTAAGTGGTGTTATCTTCCTCCGATGCCCGAGGGGCCGACTACCTCAGTAGCACATGTTTTTCCACCCCTGTTTGGGTGTTTTGGGGAGAGGCATATCTGGCGATATTTACTTTGTCCGCGCCTGCGCAGATTGATAGGCATGAAAGAAGATCAGTCTCAGCTAACAACAATTTGCGACACAGCTTCCACGCGCAACAGGCCATCGACTACGGTACGCGATAATAACTCCGAAGCAATTGCGCGACCCATATCTCTCTCTCGCGCATCGCAAAAACCTTACTTTGGAAACACTCCGAGGCTGATATCAATGGACATGTACAGGCACCAAGGTCGTCGGTGGAACGAACCCCAAGAAGGCTGGCCAGGAGCACCTCGGTCTCCCCGTCTTCGGCAACGTCAGCGAGGCCGTCAAGGAGACTGGCGCCGATGCCACTGCCATCTTCGTCCCGTACGTTAACTCTACAATATCGTAAAGAAAATCCCTGGGAGAATAGGATGTTGACCTAGAATTCAAACAGCCCCCCTCTGGCCGCCGCCGGTATCGAGGAGGCCATTGCCGCTGAGATCCCCCTCGTCGTCTGCATTACTGAGGGTATCCCCCAGCATGGTATGCTCCCCTTTGCCCTCTCCAAGTTCCTCTAAAGCTTCAAAGCTCTGAAGTGAAGCTTTAGAGTGGCTTGAACCTTGAAGCAATCTCGCAGCTCGAATACTCACCATCCCCCAGACATGGTCCGCATCACCAACATGCTGAAGACGCAATCCAAGACCCGCCTCGTCGGCCCCAACTGCCCCGGTATCATCGCCCCCGGCCAGTGCAAGATTGGCATCATGCCCGGCTTCATCCACAAGCGCGGCCGCATCGGTATCGTCTCCCGTTCCGGTACCCTCACCTACGAGGCCGTCAACCAGACCACCCAGGCCGGTCTCGGCCAGTCCCTCGTCGTCGGTATCGGCGGTGACCCCTTCAGCGGCACCAACTTCATCGACTGCCTCAACGTCTTCCTCAAGGACGAGGAGACGGACGGCATCATCATGATTGGCGAGATTGGTGGTTCCGCCGAGGAGGACGCCGCTGACTTCCTCCGCGCCAACAACACCGTCAACGGCGGCAAGCCCGTTGTCTCCTTCATCGCCGGTATCTCCGCGCCCCCCGGCCGCCGCATGGGTCACGCCGGTGCCATCGTCTCTGGCGGCAAGGGCGGTGCCGACTCCAAGATCTCCGCGCTCAAGTCCGCCGGTGTCATTGTCGAGCCCTCCCCCGCCGGCCTCGGCAAGGCCCTCTACGACGAGTTCGTCCGCCGCGACCTCTTGTAAAAAAAAACCTGAACCACATCATATCTTCCAGACGTTGAAGGGGAAAGCTTCAGCTGTGTATGTAACATGTTAAAGAAGAGATCTTTGTGTTGAGAGCGTAGTCACCGGGATGGTCCCTTCGTGTCGTTGCGGAGGATAACGGACGGCGCTACCCCCATTGCATCGTGCGGGTTGCGCTAAATGCGTGTGCGTGTGTGTGTTTGAACATGTTGCCCCAAATAACTTGATATAGACTGGAGGTTGGGCAAGGAACAATAGGGCAAGCATAGGGAAGGAAAGTGGAAGAAATGGGAAAGTTTGAACAAGTTCCTCAAGACTTCACGAAGTGAGAAACATTGCGGATCCTCTCTCCCATTCCTCTCCATCTCCAGTTTTGTATCTCCAATTCCCCAAGCTTTATAAACATTTTTTTATTACCGCGAGATATATGCAATGCTACCCGCTATCTCATAATCCTCTGACCTCATTCGTTGCGCTTCGCGCCATCTCGGCATGTAGGGCCCTTTCCGTCGTACGACTCCCCATACAACATACAACCCCCGAGTAATACCAACAAGGGTCCCGTCCCCGAACCCCGAGGGGAAAGCGGCTTCGGCCCAAAAAAAACTGGGGACCAGTATCCGGAGCAAAGGATGCGGCTTTCATGTTGGATGATGTGGATTTTGAGTCGCCAATCTACTTACTAAAGAGGCCAATGCGACCTTGGTATGCGAGAAAGCATACATAAGCTAGGGCTACCTGTGTATCTTACAAAAAACACTCTTTGCTAGAAAGCTGCTGGAAAGCAGTGATGGGAGAAGAGTAGAAGAAACCAAAAACGTCCCGCGTGCCCAAAACGCCAAAAGTCCGCGATGCGGAACTGCTAGAGCCAAACGCTCAGGCAGGCAAATACTCCGTGCCCCGTTCAAACCAACCGTCCTTATTCCCGCCTGGATACCAGACATGCGACACGTTGCCGTCAAAGCAAAATGGTCCATACGAGCGCGCGAGCAGTGAGTTCTCGAAGGCGGCATCCTGAGCTTTTCAAGCCAGGATTGCTCCGAGTTCCCTCTACCGCATCGCCAACGAACCACTCGCCACGAAAGCCAGAATTCCACTAATGCCCAACTCTAGAAGTAGACCAACTCCATACTCGATGCAATGCTGCCTGTCATCTCATGATTTACCGTGTTCGTGACTTTGTACTCCTATCGCCTCGGAGCGAATGAGGTGATAGCTGGGTGGCCGTCGACCTCGATCGACCGTTCCGTCGAGCAACCTTTCTTCGGGTAGTCGAATCATTGCTCACCGAGGAGGTGGGCGGTGATGTCGCCAAGGTACGCCTCCTCTAGCTCATAGTCCATGCCACCATTGCGGTCGATTCCAATAAAGGTGAAGGCCTCAACGACAGCATCGAGCTCGAATCCCATGCCGACAAAGCGGTCAATAAGATCCTTATTGTAGCCGGCATACCTAAAAACCTGTCAGCCTTGTTTCTTTATGCAAATTTCCTGTGCTGTAGACTCGTCCAGCGTGCAGCCGACTCTTGAAAACACACCTGTTTGCGTCATCTTGCTTTACTTCGGAAGCAACTTGCTTGTACTTTGTTGTGTCAAAATCCTTTGACGGTGCACCAGCGTGCTTGACGGCCCACTCGTGTGCCTTTTTCGCAAACCCCTCGGGGTTCTCCAGCATCATCTTGGCCACCTCTGCGTCTTGGGGATCCTTGGGATTCGGGAACTCGAGCAGCATGCGGAGGGAAAGCAGCGCCGTCTTTATCGTCTGCACGGGGGACCAACCACTGCCCAGTGTGTCGAGACAGATGGCTCCCTATCCCAGTTAGCATCTCTGGTGCTGGTGGTCTTGGAGGGCATATATGTTGTGAAGGATGGCGAAACAACCACAACGAGGCGATGGGAGAAAGACTCACGGTTTGACTGCTGACATTAGGATGCCAGATCTTGGTGATGAACTTAATGGTGGGAGATTTGAAGGGGTAGCTGTCGGGAATCTTAATGTCGACTTCATACAAGCCGCCGGCGTATGGTGTATCGGGAGGTGCGGGAAAGGAGCCCTTCAGATGCAGCAAGTTGGCCTCGTCGAGCGGCTGAGCAAATACTCCAGAGTTGTCCTTGTCATTGCGAATGTCATGCAACTCCTTGGTGATGCGTCGCTCCTTGGGGGTGGACATGTTGCAGATGCGTTGCGGACTCGATGGGGGTTGTCGATGGGTATTCCTTAGCAGTAGGGTAGGTGGTGCTGAAGATCCGAGACGTGTTGTTTATAGAGTATGTAACGTAATTAAAATTTCGAGTTGTGTGATTCGAGTCGGTGATGCGTCGTTACTTGTGTTTCTCGGGAAGAAAGCGAGGCAAGGTTGTGTCGGCGTTGGTGGTGGTGATGCTGGCAAAAGACCGTTCGGTGTCGGAACCCAACTTTCAGTCGCAGCTTGCCTCGTCTGAGAGGAGAAGGAGAGCCGGTGGACGTGCCCCTCCCCCCTTCAGCGACAGATGATGCTGGAATGGTCCGTGCAAGCCCACTACAGCACCTTAGCGCCCTCGGATTGTCAGGGCCGTCAGCCTCCAGGGAGCTGTGTGGCCCGCTGGAGGAGCTGAGGTGCGGGAGAAGGCGGGGTTGGGACCGGTGCAAGAGCACAAGACGTACCTCGAAGCTTAGGTAAGGCAAGGTAAGCAGCACCGGACCTGTCACTTTTACCGTCTGGTTACACCAACGATTCTCATTCAATATTTCTCGAGTTCTGAGTACCCAAGGTAGTCAAAGCAGATGAACAGCTTGCTGCATACAAAGAAAGTCGTATCTATCGCGAAGATCTGTACATATGGAGAAGCAGGGACTGATGCTGACCTTGGCAACCCAACCAGACGCCATGGCCCTCGGTGTCACCAGGGCTTCACTTACACAGCTGTGACAGACAGCCATCAGCCAAAATCTGTGTCAGGGAGCTGGGCTTTGGCCCAACTTTGCTAGCGAGTAGGCCCTAGATGCTTTGAAGAGTGGATACAATTCTAAAAGAATTAATGACAATCCGTCAGTGTCTCCTAACCAGTCTTTGGTCAGCCTTTTTAATCATGCTTTTGTGTAATTGACTATTCGAGCACTCAGTTCAACGTCTACCAGCAAAAGCAATGTACGAGAGCCAGTCCCAAACTTCCGTCATATGCTTTTTTTCAATCCATGACTGGTTGAATTGACTTTTACTGTCATGATTCGAGGCAGAGATAGCGTGGAAACTAGCAGCATATTCGCAAATGCTAGGAAGGCGTTCGTTACTCATCTACTGAACTGAGGATCGTCTACATGGCCCCCATACGTCTTACAAGCTA